GCCCGTTGGTTTCAGGGTGCCGGGCAGTCGAAAATTGACCTCCACCTGCAGTAAGCTCATGAGCTTCCTCCAGAACCTGGAAGTAAATTGTTTTCCTCGGTCTGAGACCACCCTCAATGGCACCCCGTGCAACCTAAAAATGTGTTCTACAAATAACTTCGCTGTCTCTTCCGCCGTGACTGCATGCGAGCAAGCTACAAAGTGGCACATCTTTGTTAGTAGGTCTACCACCACCATGATGGCTGTTTTCCCTTTGGACTTCGGCAGATCAGTCATAAAATCTATCGACACTGCCTCCCAAGGTCGTTCTGGGGTTGGTAAGGGTTCTAATAGCCCCGCCGGCGCCCGCCTTTCCCCTTTGGCTCGCTGGCATTGCTCGCACCCTCTTACATACTCACGTACATCTTTCCTCACCTTAGGCCACCAAAATTCCCTGGTGACCAACCACATGGTTTTGTGTTGTCCAAAATGCCCCGCCGTAGGGCTGTCGTGCAACTGCTTGAGTACCCTCCCCCTAAGTCTCCTTCAGGGATATACAGTGCCCCTTTGTAATACAAAGCTCCATTTCTTTCCTCGAAACCCCCGGGTTCCTCTCCCTCACCCCTAAGACCTCTGAGCTTATTCTGGGCGTATTCATCATTCTCTGTTTCCTCTACCAGTTCTCTTTGTCCCACCAATGCCGCCCCACACACCCAGCGGTCCTCTGGAATGACATGTCTCTCTTCGGGTGCTCCCTCCCCTTCCAAATATTCAGGTTTGCGTGAGAGAGCGTCCGCCCTAATGTTCTCTGGGCCTGGCACGTAACCAATCTCAAAGTTAAATTTGGAGAACTCCTGGGCCCATCTCACTTGCCGTTGGTTGAGCACTCGTGCCGTCCTCCAATACTCTAGGTTCTTGTGGTCAGTGCACACTTGCACCTTATGTTGTGCGCCAATTAGCAGGTGCCTCCATCTCCGGAACGCCTCATGAATGGCTAGTAGTTCTCGGTCATACACCGTGTAGTTCCTCTCGGATTTGTTCAGCTTTCGCGAAAAAAAAGCGCACGGTCTCCACTCTGACTCCTCCTTCCCTGGCTGCAGTAGCACCGCCCCAATCGCTCTGTCTGATGCGTCAGTTTCCACTCTCATCGGTTTTTGTAAATCCACATGCAGGAGTTGTTGTTCCGAGGCGAAGGCCCTTTTAGTTCCTCAAATGCTCGCTCCGCCTCCTCAGTCCAAACGAACTTCTTCTTACTGCTGAGACAGTCCGTAATGGGCGCCGTCAGGTGGGCAAAGTTTTGGATGAACTTACGATAGAAGTTCCCAAATCCTAGGAACCTCTGCACATCCTTCCTTGTTTTGGGTGTTTTCCATTCCAGCACCGCCTGGACCTTGCCGGGATCCATGGCCAATCCCTTGTCTGACAGGCGATACCCCAGGAATTCCACCTCCTTGGTATGAAACTGACACTTCTCCAGTTTCACCCACAGCTGAGTTGGCTTGCAGCCTGCTCAACACTTCTCTGACGTCTCTCACATGCTGCTCCTCATTCTCAGAATACACCAACACGTCGTCTAAGAGGCCACACAATTCTTGTAAAGCAAAGGCCCCAGGACGTGGTTCATAAACGATTGAAAGCATGCGGAGCCTGCTTGTAGGCCGAAGGGCATAACCAAATATTCAAATGCCCCTAAAGGGGTGAACATGGTGGTTTTCCATTCATCCCCTTCCTTATTCGTATCAGGTTGTACGCCCCCCTTAGGTCCAGCTTTGTGAAAATCTTTCCCTTCCGCACCCTTGTCAAAATGTCGTCAATCCTGGGCATAGGGAAGGCCACTGGTTCTGACACTGCATTTAAGGCCCTGAAGTCACACACCAGCCTCGGCTTGTTCGTGTTTTTTTATCCACAAAAACACTGGGCTGCCCCCACCGCCCTGGACTCTCTGATGAACCCTCTCTTCAGGTTCTTGTCAATGAACTCTCTTAGCTCCTGCATCTCTCTGTCTGACATGGCGTACAGCTTGCCTACAGGGAGCTGTGCCCCAGGGAGTAAATTGATTTGACAGTCAAAGGGTCTATGCGGGGGTAGTTGGTCAGCTCCCTTTCGCTGAAGACGTCGCGGAGATCTGCGTATTGTCGTGGTACCTTCACGTTCTCCGTTACTTCAGTCCCTGCTAGGGTGGCTTGGGCCCCTGCCAAACCCTTTCCCTCTTTGCAGTGTTCTAAGCAATGTGCTGAACCAAAAGAAACCACTCTCTGATGCCAGCCCACCAGCGGATCATGTAACGCTAGCCAGCTCATCCCCAATATAATGGGAGCTCCTCCCAAGGTGGCCACATTAAACGCTATCCGTTCGGTGTGCCTTGCCACCTTCATTATCATTGGGACGGTCTGCAAGCTGACTTCTCCTCCCAACAGCTCCCTGCCATCGATCGTGGTCACCTGCAGGGGTTGCTTAAAGGATCGTCTGTATCTGGTGTTCAGCTGCAAACTCTTTGCTCATGAAATTGCAGGAGCTGCCTGAGTCCAACAGCGCCTTTATCTTTAGAGGGTGTCCGTTTGGCAGCTCTAGCGCCACTTCTATCACTAGGGCGGGTTTAGGAGGTTCTGGCGTGGGCACTCTCACTGCTCTTTGGCCTGGCTGCTGTGCCCCGACGGTGGCAGCCAGGCGTTGGCTTTACTTGCTCCGGTATTTCTTCCTCTCTTCCCTCCACAGCTCCTACCATCCCTTGCCATTCCTTCCTCTGGGGGCAGACTCTGGCAAAGTGACCTGGCTGTTGGCAGAGATAGCATTTCCGGGCGCGTTTTCCCTCCTGCTTCCCCCCTCACTGGGCTTTGCAGCTGCGCGCGCGCCGCTGTTCCGATTTCCATCGGCTCTGCCGGCGGGAAAGTTGGCTCTGGAATGTCTGGAATGCGGAACTCCTTCCAACGTTCCCCCTTCCCTTCCCGCCTCTCCAATGCTCTCGCCTCCTGGCGCGCTCCTATGGTCAGCGCTGATTTGGTCAGCTGGTCCATAGACTCCGCCCTGGGCGCCCGGGAAAGTTCGTCTTTCACAGCCGAAGAAAGCCCTTCTTCAAAGAGCATTTGAATGGGTTCCGCCGATAAGTCCCACCCCAATCTGTGAACCAGCATGGTGAACTCAGTCCAGTACTCACGGACAGATCGGCTCCCCTGTTTGCAAGCCATTAACTGTCTGCGCACCACTCCCTGTTCAATATCGCTGGAAAACATCAGATCCATGGCGCGAAAGAACTTCATCGTGTCCTTTAGGACGTCACTATTCGCTGCCATCAGGGGTCTAACACAGTATCTCGCCACCTTTTCAAGATGCCCAATCACGAAAGCCACTCGTGATTCCTCGTCAGGGAATTCATCAAACTGCAGATTGAGGGCATATTGCATCTCTGTCCGAAAGCCATGATAGTCTTTGGGCTCCCCCCCAAACTTCTGCACCAATCCTGGTACCTTTCTGGCGAGCTGGGTGGCTTTCCCTTTTGTCTGCATCCTGAGCCCTCCTCTCCTCAAGCCTCGCCGTCTGCAGCGCTAGCTGGACCTCCAACACCCGGTACCTTTCTTCCAGGCTTGGACCCGCTCCAGCTCCTGCTTCTCCGGTTCCGGCTGGGTTGCTCATGATGCCTTCTCCTGCACAAGCTGCTTTCAATGACTGTCGGAATGCTGTGATGGGATGATGAGCTGCTTGTGCGTAAAATAGTATCCCCTCAGAGTTTGTTCAAGTCCACAAACCTCTGTCTGTGACGGAGCCCCTCAGACATGGCTCCTCTAGTCACTAGCAGATTCCGACAGTGGTTGCTTTCGGAATCGCTTCCAACATAAAAAGCTCCTTAACGGAAACACGTCTTCTGGACTCTCTGCGTGACAGTTTCCGGCGAGGAGTGGGTGTTCCTACAGGAGGTCCTGAAACCTCCCCACTGTTTTCGCTGGAAGTGTCTCTGAGCCATCCCTCCAGCTCACTTTCCCTCAGCTCAGCTCCTCTCCCCCTACTGGTTCCCTCTTCAGCTGCTGAGTCTCTCCCAACCTGTGTGAGCCCTTTCACCTCCCTTCCTTCCGATGGCAGTTCCCTGACAGATCCAATTGAAAGTCTCAGTTGATAATTCTGCTGAGTTATTAGTGTGGTTGACTGAGATGGTGGCTCTCTTTCCAGTTGGAGATGAAGTTCAACACTGACCTTGCAGATGGTTGAAATATGAGTTCTACATATGGTAGGCATTGGCCTGTTCTGAATAAGGTGAACCAAGAGGTCCAGCTTCCTTTTAATTAGGGCTTACATTTCATCTTGGCCTAGCTGGTAATGAATATGAAACGGCATATGGCTCACTTTGCAAAGGTGATTTCAAACAGCTTTCAAATGTAATTGATGTAAGGAAACTCCATCACCGGGATCGTACCCAGGTATTTTTGACAGCTCTATCCATCACGAAGAGGTTGGAAGGTAGGAAACAGCATTAAGGAAGAATGAGAACCTCGAAATAAAACAATCATCTCTTCACAACTTTGTTAGAGGAAATTGGGCAAAAGCCAAGATTGGAAATTGGAGAGATGGAAATTAATGGGAGGAAACGTTACAGGCTGTAAATCAAATGCATTTACAAACCATCAAGCTTGTCAAGGAAGAGGAATGAATTGTGATTGACAGGGGAAAGGTATTAATTTGGCAAGATCGAGATTTCGGAAGAGGAGAAAAGAAAATTTTGGAGATATGGAAGAGGAATGGTTTACTGAAAGCAAGATGTAGAAAATGAAACCTGTGAAGATTAATAATGTGTGTGAGAGAGATTTCACCCACTGCCTACCAACCTGCCCTCCATGCATTCGTAGTCCCATTTGCAGCCAGAATTATTTGTTGTTTTTTAAGCATCAGCCGTGGACATTGTCAAGGTGTGGGGGCCCCTGATAGCTACCCAAGAATGCTGGGTGGTGGCACTAGCAGTAGAGGTGGGAGAGAGTGGTGACAAAGAGTAATGCAAAGAGCAAAGGACAGATGTAATCAAGGACAATCTCATAAGAGCTGTGGCTCAGTGGTATAGCATCTGCTTTGCATGTGAACGCGGTCCCAAGTTCAATTCTTGGCATCTCTGGGTAGGCCTGAGAATGTCCCCTGCCTGAAACCCTGGATAGCTGATGCCTGTCAGCATAACCAACACTGAACTAGATGGACCCCATGGTGTGCGTAAGTAACGTAAGGCAGCTTCCTATATTCCCTAGGGTTTCAATACATCTGGAATTTCCTGGGCATACCTGGGATTTGGCTGTTGGAAACACCGTATGTAAACCCATGTTGGAAATGTAGATTTTGGCAAATTTCATTAAAAAGAGCTCAAAAACTTTTTTTTGGCAAAAAACCTAAAAAAGCTCAACAGCTTTTGCGTCTGGATTTTCACTTTTTGAAATATGACAATCCTACCCAACATGTACTTTGGAGTCATACTGTTTATTCTTACATTCTCCTTGAAGCTCTGAAATTGTCCTGAAATTACATTAGTAATGCTGTCCAACAACATCATTCTACTTAAACCTGGCTTTTCACAAACCTGGATTCCCAGATGAGGTTGGACTACAACTCCCATCATCCCTAGCTACCAGGATACTGCTGGCCAGGGATGATGGGAGTTGTAGTCCAACCCCATCTGGGGACTCCAAGTTTGAGAAAGGTTGGCTTAATCTGTAACTAGTTTTAGTAGCAATAGACAACTGTGTAGCAGTACTCCATTGTTAGAATCAAACAGTTATTGTTATATTTCACAAACAACTATTTCAGTTATTCGCAGCAGGGCTTGATATGCTGCTGGAGCATCAAAGTCATGTGAAATTTCAATGGGACACCTAAACCTAACACCTTTGGCTATCAATAAAGCTCGACAAGGCCATTGTAAGTTTTGACCTGAAGGCCAAAGAAATGCACACAAGAGTTCTGCAGAGGACTGAACTGAAAGTTTAATCAAAGGATATATCTATAGTTTAATATTTTTTTGGAAGCCGCCCAGAGTGGCTGGGGAATCCCAGCCAGATGGGCGGGGTATAAATACTATATTATTATTATTATTATTATTATTATTATTATTATTATCTCTATCTCTATCTCTATCATCTCTATCATCTCTATCTCTATCATCTCTATCTCTATCTCTGTCTCTATCTCTATCTCTATCATCTCTATCTCTATCATCTCTATCTCTATCTCTATCTCTATCTCTATCATCTCCATCATCTCTATCTCTATCATCTCTATCTCTATCTCTATCTCTATCTCTATCTCTATCTCTATCTCTATCTCTATCATCTCCATCATCTCTATCTCTATCATCTCTATCTCTATCTCTATCTCTATCTCTATCTCTATCTCTATCTCTATCTCTATCATCTCTATCTCTATCATCTCTATCTCTATCTCTATCTCTATCTCTATCTCTATCTCTATCTCTATCTCTATGTCTATATCTGTGTTAGTGGAATCATAAGAAATACAACTGAGCACATATTGTGCATTTCCACAAAGTTGACCACATTAATGCCTCGTGCAAACAAGCAGGAATGAGAAACAAACCATAAAGCCCAGATGTTGCAGGGACGTTGTATGCTAACAAGGTCTAATCCTTAAAAAAATGCAGTTCATTTTTCTTTACCATAATTTCCCCAAGAATTCTTTAAATATTTTAAGCCCCTATTTTATTGCTTCATTTTCTTCCACTATGTGAAAACATAAGAATGAAATTTCTCTTGGAAAGGGCTGTGTTGCTGGAATTCTCCCTTCCTTTTGAAAAAAAAAAAAGAGCATGTATCAGTAGGCTTCTTCAAACATTCCACTGAAGGTCCAGGCTGACTCTGCAAATGTACCAGCACTTGTGCGAAAGAGTGTAAGCTTTTACAAATAGACAGTATGCAAATTGAAAGTTGCGTGTGACTAACTGTGTGAGTCTGCAGGTCAACTATTAGTGTGCACAGATTGTATACTTGTTGTATGTAATATGTGAACACCCTTTGTATCTATTTATCTTGGCCAACATGAACTCACGGCACACTTCCTTCTTCTTGAACATAGTGGTTCTGTTTTATTTTACCAACACAAATATGTAAGCTTTTTTCAGTAATATTACAAAATTCAGGAGAAATTCAGATTAAAATGCTAATGAATTTTCAAGAGTTTTTTTTTATATACAGTGGTACCTCGGGTTAAGAACTTAATTTGTTCTGGATGTCTATTCTTAACCTGAAACTGTTCTTAACCTGAAGCACCACTTTAGATAATGGGGCCTCCTGCTGCTGCCGTGCCGCTGCCGCCCGATTTCTGTTCTCATCCTGAAGCAAAGTTCATTTTACCCGAGGTAATATTTCTGGGTTAGCGGAGTCCGTAACCTGAAGCGTCTGTAACCTGAAGCGTATGTAACCCGAGGTACCACTGTATATAAAAAAATGCAAGCTGGTGTGGAAATGTGAAGATAAGTTTGGAAAAATGAGGAGCTGAGAGAAACCAAAAATGAATGTGCTGCCAAGGATGTTGTTTTTGTTTCAAACATTACAAATTTTGGATAAGATGGATTGTTTCAAGAAGTGGCAGAAAGATATTTCCAGATTTGTTTGGCAGGGCAAGAAGCCTCGAATAAAATTTAAGATATTAACTGATGCTAAAGAAAGAGGTGGATTTGCCCTGCCAGACCTTAAACTCTACTATGAATCAGCTGCTTTTTGTTGGCTGAGAGAATGGCTGCTGCTTGAAAACACTGATGTGTTGGACCTAGAAGGTTTCAATAATGTATTTGGTTGGCATGCATATTTGTGGTACGATAAGGTAAAAGTACATAAAGCGTTTAAAAATCATATTGTTAGAAAAGCATTGTTTAATGTATGGATAAGATATAAAGATTTGCTAGAAAAGAAAACCCCAAGATGGTTGTCACCAATGGAAGTGAAGGCACAGAAAAAATTCAATATGGAGGCCAAATGGCCGAAATATTGGGAAATTCTGGATCAAGATGGAGACAGAATAAAATTGCAGAGCTTTGAAAAATTGAAAAATAAAGTCCGAGATTGGCTCCATTATTATCAAATAATGGAGGCATACAATTTGGACAAAAAAGTTGGTTTCCAGGTGGAAAAATCAAAATTGGAAAGAGAATGGCTAGATTCCAAAATTAAGAATTTGTCAAAAATGTATAACTTGCTGTTGAAATGGAACACTCAGGATGAAACGGTGAAATCAGCTATGATTAAATGGGCACAAGATGTTGGACATAATATAATGATGGCTGACTGGGAACAGTTATGGACCACAGGTATGAAATTTATGGCATGTAATGCCCTAAGAGAAAACTTAATGAAAATGATTTATAGGTGGTACATGACACCAGCCAAGCTTGCAAAAATTTACCATTTGCCCGAAAATAAATGTTGGAAATGTAATGAGACTGAAGGCACATTCTTTCACCTTTGGTGGACATGCCCAAGGATTAAGACATTCTGGGAGATGATTTATAATGAAATGAAAAAGGTATTTAAATATACCTTCCTGAAGAAACCAGAGGCCTTTCTCCTGGGCATGGTCGGCCAATTGGTGTTAAAGAAGGATAGAACTTTTTTTATGTATGCAACAACAGCAGCAAGAAGACATAAGATTTGCCCACCCGGGAGGAATGGCAGATGAAGTTGATGGACTACATGGAACTGGCGAAAATGACTGGCAGAATCCGAGACCAGGGAGAAGAGTCGGTGGAAGAAGATTGGAAAAAGTTTAAAGACTATTTACAGAAATACTGTAAAATTAATGAATGTTAGAAAAATGTTGGAATGAAGTTATATGGCTTTAGTAGAAATGTTATAAGGAATTAAGTACAGATAGGTTAATAGAGCATTAAAGGAAAAAATAAGGTTAGAATGAGTTAAGATAATTATAGGATAGAAAACAGAGGAAGATGGAAAGGAATTGCTGAAATAATTAACAGAAGTGGAATACAAAAAGGGAGGTGTGAGGAGGTCGTGGAAATAAGTGAATGAAAGATGGGATAATGAAATTGTTTGATTTATTTTATTGTTTCTGTTTTGTTTTTGTTGATTTGATGTGTTGTATTGTATTTTTTTTTTTTAATGTTTAAGTTTTTGGAAAAATAGTAAATATTATTATTAAAAAAAAAACAAAATTGGCAGATTTGCTCATCCTTGACTGGGAGACATTCTTTGTCCAAACTTTTTTCAAAGAGGGCTAGATTTGATGAAGTTGTTGACATTTTTTTTAGGATTGAAGTTGTTGAGCGTTTTCTGGGGTTGAAGGTGTGGAGCTTTTTTTAAGATTCAGGTTATTGAGTTTACCCCAGGAAATAAACTGCCACAGGGGCTGGATTAAACCGACTGGCAGGCTGGATTAGGCCCCCAAAACGGACTTTGGACATGCCTGCTCTTTGGGAGAGATACCCATGCAGTGGAAATTGCTCCTAGCACCAATCACCCCATGGAAGCAGAGAAAGGTTCACATAGTTTACTGTTAGAAAAGATAAGGCTCAGTAAAACAGTTCATGAAGGAGATTAACCCCTTGCTATGTCCAGTTACTCCGACAGACACCAACCTGTGATGTGGCAGCTTTACCTGGCATGTCTGTCAAAGCTGGGAGCCCAAGAAACACAATTGCAGTTGCTGTGGCAACCGAGATGTCGAGTGGCTTTGTTGACAGCTGAGAGCGCTGGTGCTCCTGTTTCCTAGGTGCAATGGGATATGAGACCTGAAGGAGTGAATTTTGAAAGACCAGCAGGCTTACCCTGAAGACTTCCCTATCTGTGTATGATAAACATATGAGGGAGGGACAGTGGGGATGAGCATACCATCTCCATTTCCATTCCAAGATTTGCTTGGGGAGGCTCTTTGCATGGTTGGGAATCCTGGAAAATCAGGAGTTTGGTCTCTTCCTTTCTGCCAACCCATTCTCTCTCTCATTCTCTCTCTGTTTCTCTCCTCTCTCTCTCCACCCCACTTTTCTGTTCTTCTGCCACTCCTTTCCCCTCCCTTTCGTTCACACACCCTTTTCTCTCGCCCATCGGTAGACTGATGGAGGAGGGACACATTACTCTTGCCAGAGGTCTGAACTTGCGGGCT